CCCTACCCCACACTGGGATTCCCTTCACCCCCTACCCCACCCTGGGGCTCCCATCACACCCCTACCCCACACTGGGATTCCCCTCACACCCTACCCCACCCTGGGGCTCCCTTCACCCCTGACCCCACTTAGGGGCTCCCATCATGCCCCTACCCCACCCTGGGACTCCCTTCACCCCCTATCCCACCCTGGGACTCCTGTCATGCCCCCACCTCCCCCCACGCTCCCTTTACACCCAAGGCCACCCAGATGGTACTGGCCTCGGTCACTGTGCTCAGCTCCCTCTATGTGGGAACTGTACATTCCTTGTGCTGCGATGTGGCTGTTCATCGTATGGATTAATTGGTCCATTTTCTTTCTTTTTCATTATTTAGTCCCCCGTGGGGATCACATGAAAAAGTCAAGTGCTCACTCTAGGCCTGATTGCCAATCAGCAGAGCTCAGGGACGCAGGGGTGAGCCCAGGTCTGCAGAGCAGGGACAGAGGGCAATGAGAACTGACATCCAGCTCACTCCTGTTTATCTAGAGATTCCCAGGGTGGAGGTGGAAGGTTTGGTGTGAGTGCTGGTTTCTTCCTGGTCGACTTCTGTGACTCCCTTTAGCCTCAGCTGCCTCATTTGTCAGATTTGTTGTTGATAGGTGCCATCCAGGCGAATACGACTCACAGCGACTCTGAACGACAGATCTGAACCCTGTCCTACCCTGTACCATCCTCATAATTTCTGACATAATTGAGCCCATTGTTACAGTCACTGTTTCAATCCATCTTGCTATGATCTTCCAAACATGAGGTCCTTCTCCAAGGACTAGCCTAACAGTATGCCCGAAGTGTAGGAGACAAAGCTTTGTCATCTTTGCCTCCAAGGAGCACCCTGGTTGCACCGTTTCTGAGACGTATCTATCTGTTCTTTTGGCAGTCCAGGGGATATTCAGTGCTCTTCTCCAACATCACAGCTTAAAACACATCAATTCTTCTTCTGGAATCCTTATTCATTTTCCAGCACTCAGATGTATAGCAAATAACTGAAAAAGACCATGGACTAACTCAGGTGCACCTCAGTCCTCAACTGACATCACTGCTCCAAAATAATTTGGAGAGGTCCCTGACTGTAGACTTGCCCTACAGTCAGATTTAGATAACAGCACATTCTAGTTCATGAGGAGTTGAGATAGGTATTTAAGAAAGCCCTCTGTGTTGGCTACCAGATACTGTGGAGCTCAGAAAGCGCTGTAGATAGGTATGTGGCGGTGGTGGTGGTCATCCTGTATCATCCCCATGCCCAGGGTGGCCTGGACCATAGGACTCTCACTGATTTTCAGGAATAGGTTGTCAGATAATTCAGCTTAGCTTTAGCCTGGAAGCTTCCACTGCAACCTGTTAAGCACATCAACCTCTAATGAGTGGTGGCTATTCATGGCTGCGTCGGCCAGGAATTGAACTAGGTCTTCACACAGAAGTCGATTATCCTTACCAATGAGCCACTGCACACGTACCGTGTTTGAAAGGGACTTGCTGAATTGAATGAACGCTCAAGGAGAGGACCCTGAGGCAGAGGGAAGGTTGTCTGGGCATCACCCAGGCAGCACGTTACCTCAGAGAGTATTGGTAGATGCTCTACTCTTCATCGGAAGATGGGAACCTGAAGACCCTTCCACAACTGGGTCTCTCGGTGCCTGCTGCAAAAGGAACCTCCTAGTCACCCAGGCTCCCACCCAGCTCCTCCTGCCAGGAACTGGCCCAAGGGGCTCCAGGACTGTGGACAGTGGCTTGATTTCAGGTTTTGGAGTTCCCGAATCCCCTTGGAAAGTCTAGGGACAAGTCCAAGTTAACAGCATGGGAAGTGATCCTAAGACCCGTTCCTCCCTCCAGCAGCTGCTCATTATCCCTGCCTGCTCGCTGATGATGGCCATCCCTCTGTCCATCTGGCATTTCGGGTCTTTGGCCAGCGCCAGCACCATGCCAGGGAGGGAGGGAGTCTGACTGGAAGCCTGTTCAGGAACAGAGCAAACTACAAAGGCCTGTGATGGGATGGGGGACATCAAAGCCCACATTCTTCCTTAAAGGTCTTTGGAGGCCTCCCGCCAGGAAACAGAACTCTGAAGGAGTTCAAGCATCTGGCTTCCTCTGGGCCCCAAGGCCCCCAGGGCACTGCCCTTGGGGCAAAAGGCAGAGGGAGCCCATGCCCTGGGGCCAGCTGCTAACCCCCAGCTCTGGCTTATGAAAGGCAAGTAAATATCTGCTCCCTCAGACACATGACTCACTTAACTTTTGAGGGGAGAGCCTTGGCATTTCATTAGTGGTCTCTTTGAAGGCTGCCCTTTAAAAAACAGAAAAAGAGAGAAGGGAGGGGGATGGGAGGCTGACTCCAAAGCTCCCTCAGCTAGAGTTTCCGAAACTCCAGTTGGTCCTTGTTCATTACATGGATGGCAGAGCCTGTCTGGCAAGGAATAATGCCTGGTGTTTACACTTTAATGGGACCCGGGGGCCAATTAACAACACTGAGCGCTAACAGGCAAAGCACTCGAAACCCAATAGAGGGATGGCTGGCTCTTTCCTCCCCTACCCCAAATAAAAGGCAAGTGCTACGTCAACAGTTTTCCAAGAGTAAAATTTTATTTTCAAAAAGTTCTAACACTGACCCATTTATCACAGATGCCTTTTGTTAAAAAAATAGTATTCTTTTCTCTTTCAGTGACGCTTCTAGCCACCAGAGGGTTTGGGTAATGAGCGACAGGGGTCAGAACCTGCCCTCCACACCCAGCACCCGCACGCTGGCCTCCTGGATGGCCTGGTGGATGCGCTGCACCTCTGGCTGCGTCAGCGTCCGCTCCATGTGTCGGTAGGTGATGCGGTAGCAGTGGCTAGTCTTGTGTGTCCTAGAAAAGAGAAGAAAGTGTGAGGGAGGAGTCCAGGGCCTCCTGATCTGAGAGTTGCTGGTGCCCACACTCTGGAGCACCACAGGCACGACCCCTCCACTGTCTGTGCAGCACAGACTTGTCCCTGCCCTTACTTACTTAATGGCACCTTCCCAACTCGTTTGAGGATGGTAATAGTTAAGGAAGCATTAGCCTTGGGTGATCTAGAAAGCTGGCTCCTATGGCATTGGCTGTGCCCACATCCCTCTGGGAAGCTTCTAGCCAAGTGGTTTCTGGGGCTGGGCCCTGGAAATGCTGCCTGAAGGTGCGACCCGCTCCCAGGTGATTTCAACCAGCAGATAGGGTTAGGAATCTCACCTTCCTCAAGTTAAATATAATTATCAGAGCACTGATCATCCAGCTGCTCCCCTATGCCTGGCCTCAGGGCCCTGGACACCAGAGACCGAGGGGTATCTCTCTCACACTCCTGGAAGGCTTTGGGAAGGACTCACCATGCCATCTGGACACAAACTGGATTTAGCTTTGGCCCAAGTGGTGCTGACTGTGCACTTCTGCAGCATAGGGTTATGGTAACTGAAGGCCTCTGTTTGCATTGTGGTTTTTCAGAACAGGGTAATATGACCTCATAGAGGAGACCCTGGGACACACAAGACGGATCTGCCCTGCTGCCCTGAGCTGCCTTCACTGGCTAGGTGGCCCCAGGTCTGTCCCGTCTCTCTTTGCTGGCGAGGTTGTGGAGAAATTGAAACTCTTATTCACTGTTGGTGGGAGTGTAAAATGGTGCAACCACTATGGAAGGCTGTAAGGCGCTTTCTCAAAAAGTTGCAAATAAGGGGAGCTCTGGTGGCCTAGTGGCAAGGAGCTGCAACTACAATCCCAGTGGCTCACAGTTCGAAACCACCAGATGCTTTGCCGGGAAAAGAAGGGACAATCTCCTCCTGTACCAGTCAGATCTGACTTGACGGTACACTCAAACACACACACACACACACACACACAGAGTTGCAAATAGAAATACCATTTGACCCAGCAACTCCACTACTGGGAATTTACCTTAAAGAAACCATAATCGTCACCCAAGCAGATATATGCACACCCATGTTTATTTCAGCTTTGTTCACAATAGCAAAGAGCTGGAAACAACCCAAGTGTCCACCAACAAATTAATGGATAGAGAAGCTCTAGTATATTCACACAATGGAATACTATGCAGCATTGAAAAACAAGGAGCTCATGCAATATTATGCAAAATGGATGACCCTGTAGGACATTATGCTGAGTGAAATATCTCAGTCACAAAAGGACAAATATTGCATAGGGCCACTGTTATAAAACGGCACTGACATTGGAGTTGAGGGAAGATAGAGAAGGAGGGGAGGAATGATGTATACTGCATTGAAACAGATGAGGAAGAGAACTGTTAAAAGGGATATATGATTATTATTGTCATGACAGGAGTCCAGAATGAAGGCTGCACAGTGCAGTGAACTTGGGAGGAGGTATTGCATAACAATGAAAGAGTTTTTCTTTTACTTTTCAAGGAGAAGAGTGAATGGGGGGGAGGGGGTGGGCAGGGAGAAAAGTGCAACAATGTCTCTGTAAACTTTCATTAAAATTATTTTTTTTAAAAAAAGTGTGAAGGCTTGCTCAATGTTAGACTCTACAGAGTCCTCTTATCTTGCTTCCCTTCCACACCCTTCCTGTACCTCGAGTGAAGAACAGAAGCAAAGTCAGGGACCTAGAAGTTCGCAGGGGTGTTTGAACAATTCCTAGCCTCACTAAAAGGCTGCTCTTGACCTTAAATTGATGGATTTTCCCCACGCCACACTCTCAGCCCCCTCCAAGAGACCCACTGACTTCCACTATCATCCCTGGACCCAAAATCCTGGCTTCCATAGCTCCAGCAATTTCTTCTCAGTCCAGTTCTCTCTCTCCTTTCCTCACCTACTCCACTTTGTGTTTGAGGCAGAGCCCCTGACTGGAACAGATATTCTTTATAAACAGAGTTTGCCTTGGGTCCTAGCTCCTTTCAGGTTCCTCCTCCTTTCTCGTTCCCACCTGGTCCTCATAATTTCTGATCCCTTTCAGGAAGGCTAAGTTCACTGACTGAAGGTGCTATGCTTCAGAGTTACCTGCTTCAGGTAGGGTGTGGGCCCCTGTGTGGATCATGCTGGGATCAATGATACTGGTGAGTGTTACAGTCACTATTTTTGGGGGTTCCTTTAAGGTCATACTTGGGATTCCAAAAATCATATCACCTGCTCTGTTCCCTCAACTGACATCAGCTGCTTGTTCTAGATTACATGCCTTCTCCTTACTCCTCTTTTCCAGTTCAGTTCTGCTCAGAGCCACACACTGCTGTCTACGTTGCCCATGAAGCTGAGTGACTGTGTCTCCTTACAGGAGTGTCCTGTATCACACTCATCCAAGCCACCCAGGTATCAAAATACCTGCAGGCCAGAGAAACTTTGATTAGAGTGGGACCCGAGAAGGTCTCAAGAGTGGGAGTGAGTAAAGCAATGCACTCACAGCCTGCTTCTGCCAAGTGCCAACTGCCCCCTACACACTCAGTGATACTCACTGGGCTTTGTCAAGGTGCCAAGACGACCAATGACAGCTTGCCTTTAAGAGATGGTGCTGGGACAATTGAATAAGAACATTTGAAATCATGAACATGGATCCCTTCCTCACACCATACAAAAAAAGAACTCTAAACGAATCATAAATGTAAGAGATAAAACTGTAGTGTTCCTAAATGAAAATATAGATATAAATCTTCATGACCCTGGGTTAGCAAAGCCTTCTTAGGTAATATGACACCAAAAGCATAAGCAAAAATATTGGACTAGAAAAATCGGACTTTCCCCAAAATCTCATATGATATCATCAAGAGAATGGAAAAATAGCTCATAAAATGGGAGAAGATATTTGCAAATCATATATCTGTTAAAAGACTTGTATTTATAATAAAGAATGCTTACCATTTAAAAATATTAATAACTTAATTAAAAATGGGCAAAAATAATGAATAAAAATTTCTCCAAATATACAAAAAGGTGGGCAATAATTACATGAAAAGATGCTCAACATTATTAATTCTCTTCATCTCTGCTGTCAAGTTAGAACCTACTCTTAGCTTACCCTTGGGAGAGTTTTCAGAAGCAGTAAATCCCATGAGAGAAGATTTTCCCTCTTTCTCTCATGTAACAACTGGTGGATTTGAACCTCATGTCTTTGGGTTGGCAGCACAACCTTTTACCCACAACATCATCAGAGCTTCCATATTAATCATATTACCCTTTACCCACAACATCATCAGAGCTTCCATATTAATCATATGAAAATTAAAATGAAAATTCAAACCATCTTGAGATACATCTTTACAATCACTAGGATCGCTATAATAAAAAAGACAGACAATAACAAGTGTTGATGAAGATCAAGAGAAATTGCTGGTAGGAATACAGATGCTCTGGAAAACCATTTGGTAGTTTTAAAAAAAGTAAGATACAGAATTCCTCTAAAATGTAGGAATTCACTCCTAGATATTTTCCTCAAGAAAAATGAAAACAGTTGACCACACTGCACACAAATATTCACAGCAGCATTATTCATAATTGGTCCAAAGTGGAAACAAACCAAATGTTTATTAACTGTAAAGTTATAAACAGAATGTGGTCTAATCAGATTCTCTGAAATGGGCGAGTCCTGAAAACATCATTCTTAATGAAAACAGCCAGACCCAAAGACCACATGATTCCATTTATCTGAAACGTCCAGAAGTGGCAACTCTACAGAGACAAAGCATGTTAGTGATTATCAGAGGTTGGGGTTTAGGAGGAAAAGAGAAATGACTTACAATTGGGGGTGAGGTTTCTTTTGAACATATGAAATACATTCTGGAATTAGATAGTGGTGATGGCTGTACAACTTTGCCAATATACTATAAACCACTGAGGTTTACATTTTAAATGGTAGCTCTGATGATCTGGTGATTTGGTGATAAGAAGCTGTGCTGCCATCCCAAAGACACACGGTTCAACTCCACCAGCTGCTTTATGGGAGAAGGATGGGCATATTTGAATTGCTTCTGAAAACGTCTAGAGGGTCAGTTAAGGATCAGTTCTGCCTCAGTAGGACACAGCAACCACCACAACAAAAACGTTCAAGGAAAAGGTACCTCTAGGCACTGGGCCCACAGCACCTGAGCATGATTTTAAGTCCTGGTCTCTGGCTCCACCTTGCCCTGTCATCCCAATATCTGTTTAAAGTGGACTCCTGAGGACAGAACTACTGTCCTGTTCCACCTCAAGGACGTGCAGTAGATGCAAGCTAATATTGATTGGACACACACAGGAGTGTCCTGTGAGCAGGGGCTGCCTCAGCTTTTAGATGCATGTGGTGGGGGAACAGGCTCCCTGCACCTGCCAGGTTCACATGTCCCACTGTGTGCAGCCATGCCCTTCCTTATTTACTATGCCTGGGATGTGATGGACAGACACCACACTGTTGCCAAGCCAGTGGGCCTCATCCCGTCTCCCTAGTACTGCAGGCAGCGTGACACCAAGGGTGGGTAGTTACCAAGTCAGGCTGCAGGGACGGAGTGCAGCTCTGCCATTTCCTACTGTGTACCCTGAGCTACTTATTTAATCAGGTGTCCCTTTCCTCTTCTGCAAAATGAAGAAAGGCATGTATCCACTTCCCAGGACTATTCAAAGGAGTCTTTGCATCTAAAGCATCCCAAGCACTCAGCACAATGTGCAACCCATTTTAAAATGTGCAACTAAAAAAATGTGACCTGTTCTCATTATTTTGTAAACAGAGAGCAGTGAATGTGGCAATAGTGGCAGCCCGCTGTCAGCATGGGCACTGAGCCCCACACCTCCTGTGTGCTGGGCATGGGTGCTTTCTGCAGAAATCCATTTTCATGGGAAAACCTCTAAGCAGCAGCATCTGACACACATAAACTGTGGACAAGGTCCAAGAAGCCCACCTGCCAG